CAGGAATGTCCATCACAGACAGGTTGACAATCGTGAGTTTTATTCCGGAATGTTCATATGAGATAAAAGCTAATTTTTTTCAACAGTTACCAGTGGAAGTGGGTAGAAGCCTCTTTCTTTGATAGGATTACTATTACTCCAAAGATGTTGTCAGACCACATGCCTGATACCCTCCACCAAGTACTTCAGACTTTCACTGAAGAAAGTGCATAATTTATTTTTTGTCTCCAGGATTGATGCTAGTCACGAACTCATTCTTCCTGATAGAAAACATAAAATGATTTTCGTCAAATTCTTTTATTCATGTTTCATTTGATCACCGTGCTGTTGAAATTGAAAATATTGTTCTTTATTTACATATAATTTTTTAATGATTTAGCAAGTTATTTACAGTTTCTTTTCAGTTGTTTTACAGATAACTAATAACACATTGTCGACGGGTTACGAGTTTACTCATGTTTCGTGCAGAGAGTCTTTGTGTGCCATTTATTAAAACATTGAGTTTGAAAGGAGTCGGACGTGTTTTATTTTGTTCATAACTCAACTATATTTTTTATTATTTATTTGAAACTTACATGAAGATACCTAGTAAATTTTTAAAGTGTGGTATCTTGTAACACAGTTTCTTATATGGAGTGGAACCGCGCAAAACTTGCATACGTTTCACTTCTTTTCCCATGAGTACTACAAACTCTGCAGGCTCTGGTAGGAAATTTCTTTTTTCCTGCAGATGAAATGAACACAGGAATATGCTGCTTCATGTCACCAGGCAGTCTTCCTGGGGGATCCTTATGTGGGGCTCTCCTTGTACCTGCAGATGATGGATTGGGTTCGTCCCTCTCCAGTTCCAGTGAGCCTTCTTTCTCTTTGTCAGTAATCCATTCTCTTGCCACAGAGAGGAGGAACTGCTTATATTTTATTTTTTTGTGTTGATTCAGGGCTTTGTAGATTATATATGAATTGAAAAGGCTGTAATTTATTAGATAATTTTGTCCATTTCACTGTTTTTCTAAGAATGGTGTAGTACGAGAGGTACTGATTTGCACAATCAACACCTTTCATGTGGACATTGTATTGCAGAACACACACAGGTTTTTTTATTTCTTCTCCAGTTATTCTTTTTTTCTTTCCTATGGTAGAAACAGATGAGTCATAGATTGTTGAAGCCATTCTCACTTCTATCTTGTCTTTCCATATGAAAACGAGAACATCACCTTTTCTACGAAAAGCTGTTTCACCTTTTTTTATCATTGTTGAAACTTCAGGCTTGGCAGCAACCCTCTATTAACTCTGATTGTTCCACAGGGTCTTGATTTATGTTCTAGGAACAGTTTGACAATGGAAGTACTGTTGTAATAATTGTCCTGGTATACATGGTGCCACAATCCAAGATTGGGAGCAAGAACTGAAAGAATAGTCTCCTCCAATTTTTTCCCCTAACCAGTATAAATCTCCATGTTTCAAATATAACTTGTGTCACTCTCACACACCATTCTCACCAGCAGGCTATATTTTACAATTTTTGCAAGGTTCTATGTTTGAAATCATAGACATCCTTTCTATGGAATCATATCCCTCATCCAATGACAACTGTTGCTTTGGTTTGTATAGTGTCCTGAATTTATTGAGGAAATAATCCAGTATTGGTTGAATTTTGAAGATCCTGCCTGAAAACTTGTTCATTTTCTGATTATCATTGAAATGACAAAATGTCCAAATTTGTTCAAATCTATTGTATGTGAAAATTTTGGGCTAATCAAAAGATGATCTGTTGACCAATAATCTTTCCAGTTATATTTCCTTGTCTTTCCCATTAGTAGAATAAGGCCTAGGAATTTCCTCATATCTGTAGGTGTAACTTAAGACCATTGAAGTCCTTCAGGTGGCAATTCATGTTTCTCTGCAGTTTGATTATGGTAGGTACACATTTCAAACAAGTCATCACCAAATATCAGACTTGTCGAGGCAGCAGTACTTTCAGGTTTGGATGGAGTTATAGCGACCCCTGGATTTCCTTCAAACATTTCCAAGATCGGTGGAATATCTATTTCTGACCAATTATCACAACAGGAAAACAAATCACTAACAGGAACATTTCTAGAATCCTCATCCCTGTTGACAGAATCAGTTGAGAGCACATCAATTTTACGTATCTTTATAGGTCTAACAACGTCCCTGTAGCTAGAATCCCTGTCAGAATGATCCACATCAGAATCTTCACCTTGGCAGAGATGACAAATTATCATCAAATAGTTCAGTAATTGTCTCATCTTCACCCAACACATTACGTTTTCTGGGAGAAGCCATTTATAAAAATATGGGAACTGTAAGCAAAATAAAACGTATCTGACTCCTTACGAAGGCAACGTTTTAATAAATGGCACACAAAGATGCTCTACATGAAACATGAGTAAACTCGTCCGCAATGGGTTAAATTAATGCTTTTATGTTAATATATATATGTCTGTGAATAAACTTGGCCTAGTAATATAATAACAACTCCAAGAGAAGTGGTTATTTACAACCTGCTGTTTCTTATGATGACAAACACCATATAATTTGTTATACTGCTGAGAGATTACATGATAGTGTAAAATGTAAGCTTACTAGACTAGCAGTAATATGGTGATACAGAATGTAAACTAACAGTACATGGTTGTATGGTGATACAGAATGTCAGTACTATGGTTATATGGTGATACAGAATGTAAACTAACAGTACTATGGTTATATGGTGATACAGAATGTAAACTAACTAACAGTACTATGGTTAGTTTACATTCTGTATCACCATACAACCATAGTACTGTTAGTTTACATTCTGTATCACCATATAACTAGACTAGTAGTACTGTGGTTGTATGGTGATACAGAATGTAGGCTAACTAGACTAACAGTACTATGGTTGTATGGTGATACAGAATGTAGGCTAACTAGACTAGTAGTACTATGGTTGTATGGTGATACAGAATGTAGGCTAACTAGACTAGTAGTACTATGGTTGTATGGTGATACA